TGATCTAGCCATCATTAGAGTTGGAAGCACCGCGGCCGAAGCTATCGCAGCAGTCCAAGAAGACCTCGACAGCCTCGTCCTTCTCGCCAGAGAACACAGGATCGAATTTGACCCGGCAAAGTCGGAACTTCTAGTGACCGGAGGAGGTCCTAGGAAGAAAATCAACACAGCCAACCTCTCCATCTTGGTGAAAGATCGCCGGATCGAACCGTCGCCTCATATCCGGTGGTTAGGAGTCTGGCTTGACACTCAGCTGAACTTCAAGCAGCATGTACAGGAATGGACTGGAAAAGCTAATCGTCTAGTCCACTTTTTACGACATATAAACGGAGTTCAGCGCGGGGCAGCACCCGGACCTCTAATTCGTGCGGTACAGGCATGCGTTCTGAGCACAGCTCTCTATGGGGCAGAAGCGTGGTGGCCGGGTCTTTCTCGAATAACCACCATCCGAGATAAAGAAGTCGGCACTGGAGTAGGGTGGCACACATCTCTGCTGGACAAAACTATCACGAAAGCTATACGAGTAGCACTCCCAGCGTGGCGTACCACTCCCAATAGCGCTCTTCATCGTGAAGCGGGAATCCCCCCGGCATCAATAATTCTCCAACAAAAGATGTTGCGGTCTGCAGCTCGAATGCGAAGAATGGATGCCTGGCACCCTCTAGCCCTTCGGGCGGCGGAGGACCCGAAAGATACTATAAAACGCCTAGGTCTTAGATCGGGACAACGAGATCGCTTGTTCAGACAGCCAGAAAGGTACATGACACGCCTACAAATAAGCGTGCGTCAAGTTCCGACAGCGGAAGGCCCTGGAAAGCTCTACTTTCCCCATGGTCTCCCGGCATCGACACCAGGCAGTCGGGAAAAAGAAGCTAGGTCAGGAAGCATCAAACGATGGTTAACTTCCCTTCCAGCCAACGCAGTCTGTGCCTTCTCTGATGGATCCTCGTCGGGTCCCGGGCAATCAGCTTGGGGTTATGTGGTATACCAAGGAGGCAAACTAGCTGGAAGTGGCTCGGGTCCGCTTCCGGGAGCAGAGGTATTCGACGCAGAAGTTGTAGGCGCTATGAAAGCCTTGGAGGCTGCACTAGCGGTGGGAGAAGGCTTTCCGGTCAGCATTCTTCTGGACAATCAAGCGGCCGTCAGAGCGCTCGAACAAGGAAGATCCAATTCCTCGCAGACAGTGGTGGACAAGTTCTCATCGCTGAGACATAATAGGCGTGTAGAAATACACTGGATACCTGGTCATGTGGGGATCCAAGGCAACGAAGAAGCCGATAAGCTGGCCAAATCAGCCCTGGGAGATCTCAATGACCAATCACTAACCTCAGCTTCGCCCAACGGAGACGAGCAAATTCTGACCTTTGCGGCTCTAGGGAGACTAGTGAAAATGCGGAGCCAAAAGCTTGTGGAAGAGTGGTGGCAGAAGTATCGGCCTAAACGATACAAAGATCTCGACCTCTACATGCGCTGCAAGCGACCGCCGGAACTGGCTCTGCCTCGATGGGCGTATCACCGTCTTATTGCGGCAAGAACAGGCCACGGGGACTACGCCGACTACCACCGGCGTTTCAACCCCGAACATGAAGATCTGATGTGCATTTGTGGCTGAGAGAAAAGGCCCTGGCATTTTTCAGAGTGCCGACCTGCTCTGCAACGTTGGAGAAGCTGTGAGAAAATGACTCCACCTGGGGTCAGGGAAATGATAGGGGAGAAGGGATGGCAGAAGTTTTTCCAATTCCTAACCATAAGCAGATGCTACAGTCTGCCGAAGAACTGACAGGGTGGGAGTGACCATGCTGAGATAGTTTCTGGCTCGAGAGGAGAGGTGTTTGGAAGATAGGGATACGGTGCAGGGCACCGTAACTCAGACATTTGCTGTGATTTTATTTTTCTTTTGACGCTTCTGGCTTTAATGCCGGTCATGTAGGTAGCAATGAGCTCGTAGGGCCCATCTACCCGTGTCACGTCTAAATAGATGTTGGGTTCGTCCTGTCACGTTAAAGATTTCAAATTCAAATTCAAATTCAAAGTACCACTGCGAAGTTATGGCGGCTTTTTCTTCATTCCAGATCAACCCTCATCCGTGAGTGCCCACTCAGGGGAAAGTCTCAAAACCCTTGATTTATCCAGACATTCATCTATCATCCATTTACTTTTCTCCGCGTAGGGAACTATTCTAAACACCTGCCAGTGGCGTCTCCTACGAGCTTGCAGTTCTCACTGTAGAGTCTATAGAGCCGAGATTAAGGAATACCTCCATCCTCACTTTGATGAGAATTCCAAACCGCTTTCGCGATTAGATGGTAGGGTCGAAGCCCTTCTCATCATCCACTCTTTATCATGGAGAAAAAGCCATCCGATGAGCTTCCGGAGCGTACCCGGCACCTGATACGGAGATGGTGGATTGGATTAAGTCGGACTCGACTGTTACAAAGACAGGAGATATAGATGAATATGCGCACCTCATGTAGTCCCGTTGTCTAGGCCTCGTCTGGCTGGGGCCGCAGGTTTTTTGAGACTTTTTCCCGCGCATGCAGTTTGCATTACAACCATTTTCATTTTTTTCGGGTAGAAGGTTCCGTGAAAAAGGTGGCAGAATTCCACGGGTAAACACTGAGCTGAATGGCTATCCATCAAGGGCAATATATCAACGATCTTTCAAGAAATATGAGAGGCGAGGAGCACTGTAAAAGGCGTGGCCTCGGAAAGAGGGGAGCCCAATCTGTTAGATGGTCTATGACTCATGTAGTACAATAAACAAAAGACTCACAATGGCCGGCTGGCCAAGTGCTACAGGCTAGTTTGTGTGTGTTGGGAGTCATTTCTGGTATTCTAAGCCTCTCTACGTCATTTGCGTCTCAGCGTACACAGAAGGTCGTGTTGAAACGCCATAAAGTACTTGTCCGAGAGTGGGTCGTGTTATATTGGGTCGACTTGTAGTACTTGAGTTCAAGGCAATCTCGCATATTAGGCTCTAATCTGACCAAGGCCACATCTTGTAGAGTGCTCCTGTCCTCTATTATCACGAATAGGATTTCTGATATAATGCCCATGATAGATAGCCATTCAGCTCAGTATTTACCCGCAGAGAAGGATTATGTTGCATACTATGATTCATACTTGGCATCTTCAATTGAATTGAAGATACTATCAAGGATGATTGTGTACACTCGAGCGGTGTAGAGATAGCAGGTGAGGGATGTGAATAATGCCTTTTTTTTAAACTTAACATCAGGTCCTAAGCTAAAAGCTTTCTCTTCACCATTGATCCATGACCAGTGGAGCCTGAAGGGACCCCTGTGATTTTTCCCACAGCCCAACTCATTCCGACTACATGAATCGCTGCCAAAGTTGAAGCTGATTGAAACTGAAACTACAAATCCAAAAATTAAAACAACCTCGAAAACTAGGGGCTTTTTCTATTGTGGATCTGTGTGAATATCGGTGCTGGCAGAGTAGCTATGGGAAATTTACGGATCTTAGTCACATGGTGTCAGTGCGGCGTTGGGGTTAACATCCGCTCATTATTCATGTTAGAGACAGAGATAAAGATGTACGGTTTGATCAATAACCGTTTTACCCAATCTTTGTGCTAGAACACCACCTAGAGCCGGTGATAACCCGACAGGACCCAGGCAAAGCGCTGCTCATAGATCCCCTTGTCAGTCATACCTACCAAATGACATATTCCCCAATCTCCACTGAGAGCAAAAGATAGATAGCAGGTATCATTGATACAGCCGGTATCCTACTATTGGTTAGTCAATGCCTAGAAAGGTATTGTCGAGTTTGCTGTGTCCTCAAGCTTCTTCTTCGGACTCTAGAACTACGAAGCCCGACCCCTTCGCCATGGAGACGTTTGTTATAGAGGGGATAATTGCCTGTTAAGCCTTTTTGGCAGCAGCCCTGGCTCGAGCTACCGCTGCGAACCCCCCTTGCTCGATATAGCGAGTCGACACGAGCTGCTCTTTGTTCACCGGTCCAGGCTCTCTAGGTCTGGCTTGGCAGTCCCGGGAACCCGATCGGTGAGCTCGTAAATAATGCGTTGCTGTTCGTTTACAATATTTTGCAGACGAGTTATTCGTGTATTTATCGATTTTCATCCAATCTCACATACCTCCAAATTTCTTCCTAATTAGCCCCTCTCGGGCGAATTTCACTTGTAATTGGTGCAGTTGCCACTATCCAAATTACCACTAATCTATTTCCCTTTCCTCGGCCCTACGTGCTACGTCACGTGGATAATGATCACATACAAATACAATCTGGATCTTTCTAACCAAAGTATCTTGGACCCATCGAAAATCAAAACCTTCTTGTAAAGTGTTGCTCCTCATTTCCGCTCGGCATAATTTAATGTGAGAGCAGATGTTTGCAGGGAAATCGCTGAAAGATGTTGAGACTTTGTATTCCAACATTTTTTGTTCAATGAAACTTTTGTTGTCATGAGTCGGCCTGTAAAAATTTGCGACGGATGAATACAACATCATCCATAGATATTTCCTCTTACTTCGGGCCAGTTTTCCTTGGCAATAAGGAACCGGATGCTGGAATAGAGGGGAAGCGCCACAACTTTAATTGTGATCAAGATATGGAGAAAAGTGACCTCATATTTTTCTGTGGAATTGAGGAGCTGTAATTTCAAGGCTCATTAATTCTTTATATTGCCAAAATATGTAACGTGTGTTGGCCAAGAAGCTAGCCTAAAGAATGCATCTACAAACGCCTTTGAATATAAGAAGCACATGGGACGGTTGAAGGTAAATCTAATCCTTCCATCTCGTCAAGTCTTCATCTTCTTGGGTTCACCATCTTTTACAACCAGAGAGCCCATTCTACAAATCTCTCGATATTCATTCCTATTCTCAAATCGGTATCTCGTCTGCAACACTCGGAGACGGCGCAATCTATTCCCGATTTTAACTTAAGCTCGCACGCCATCCACCTGTATAAACTCTTAAGAGGCTCCCGCAGAGTCAACTGTCCTTATATTCAACATGAAAACTTTTCAAATTGCTTCTATTATTGCAGGACTTGGGTTTTTACAGCCTACAGTTGCATCAGTGGTCAATTGTGGTTTAAATCGAATAGATGTTGATCATGTCAAACGTGTTGCCGCAGGTCTCTGGAGAATGAAATATGAGAGTCTCAAAGCGTACAACAACGTTCTGTATCCTAAAAAGTACGAAGAAACCGCTTATGCATCTGAAGCTTTACGGAAATTTCCATTATTTGCTGATGGCCGGGACTGGAATGGTATTTCAAATCATTCCATTCTAATCTCTATAATAATTTAATTTTTCGCAGGGGGGTTTTTTATGTACTTTGTTGTGTCAAGTCAATCTCAAAATGTGGTCATGCTCTTTTACGAGGATGATTCAGGATTACACAATTGTCCCTTGGATCAATATTATGGATAGGTGGGAGAGTGTATAGCGCGGAAGTATTAAATATTGGTTTCGTCGCCACACTATTTCGGGATCTACACGAGCCAAGATATCTGTAAGAATTATTTTAAAAAGTATACGCAGTGGATCGATTGATATTTAGAAAGCTTTCTCTAAAAATAAACATAACAATTACATATCTTGATTGTACGATCGTCGTTTAACCCGAGGCATGAGTGCTCTATTTGTATACTGAGTTATCTTTTCTGTAATTTTTCTCTGATATTGTGTCATGGCTAGATAGCTGCATACGCAATTTATGTTTGATGCAAAAAATTATACTCGTTTAGAGGATCGACCCCAAGGGTAGGACTGAACACCTGTGCGCGGTATCCTCTACTAACCTGAGAGTGACATATTCTCCCATAGCCAAGTTCAGTCAAATTTCGCAATATCAAAGAAGTTGGCCCACGAGGCAATGATTTAAATTACTCCACAACGTCAAATTTTCGCTCCCAACGAGTTTAACGCCTACCTAAGTCTCATCAAGTCTACAAGTACGACTAAGTACATCCTCACCCCAATGACCATACCCCTCTTCAGCCATCTCTGGCCTCAGTTGACCAACAAATATACGCCCACGCCGATATTTACACCCGACGGAGGAAGCAATGCGTGGCACACAAATCTGGGAGAAAGTTCTTTGGGATGGACGTGAGAGGGATCTGGACAAGTTTACAAGATACTGCAAAGGAAGGATATAACCTTGAAGGGAGTGAAATTCCGAATTTTGGCAAGCAGTTTTACGAATTGGGCTTTGTGCGCGCCAAGACTTTGCTTGCGAGAGTGCACCTGACACTTTATAAACAAGCAAACGATAGAAGGTGTTGTGGTCCGCCTCCTGGTGGCGTTCTCCGGTATAGTCTGAGTAGCCTGGGCACCTACTTCACTTGGGAAGGAGACATCTCAGATCACATTTCGCGCAGACAAAAGAAAATGAATTGTGGAGGCATGTTTGGATAACCCAGGGTTTTCGAGACGTTTCCCTGGGTGGGCATTCGCGGATGAGGGTTGATCTGGGATGAAGAAAAAGCCACCATAACTTCGCAGTGGTACTTACAAATGAAATCTGAGGCATGAGTGCTCTTCCTTTAAATTGAGTCATCTTTTCTGGACCTTTCTTTGATCTTGTGTCACAGCAAGATAGCTGCATATACAATTAAAATCTGATGCAAAAAAAAGAGGATCGACCCTGGCTTCACGTAACAACGTAGACTTGACCTGAAACTCTCTATTTCAACACTCCTCTTCTTTGCCTTAGTAGCCCACTCGGCGAGTCAGGCTCCAGAGCTGCTACAGGCCGTTCAAGTCCTCCAACTAATAACTGGAAATGCTCAGGTAGAGCGATAGGAAAAAAGACTGAACTATCTTCTCGGACCAGTTCCAAAAAATGGATACAACGCATCCGGAGTTAGCGAGACACTCTCAGATGAAGAAATTCGGCAGGAATTAGCATCTGCCAACGTCGACACAATAAAAATATACTCCATGAACTGGACCCGTCGATCCACAGAATCTTCCGAAGGAGAGGGGACCTTACGTCTCGTAGTTTCGGCCTCAGCCACGTCTAAGCTCCCAACACATCTCTGTCTATTTTCTAGACCCACAGAGCTAAAACCCCTCGACAATAGACCTCAGCTCCAGGTATGTCCTAGATTCCATGGTTACCATAACGTAAATGTATGCACCAGGCACGCTCGCTGCGGCATCTGCGCTGCAGAATCTCATAGCGGGCCATGCAGTGCCTCCACCAAGTGTCTAAACTACGCTGGACCACATCAGGCATCATCACCCGGCTGCCCAGTTTGTCCACTCCGTGCGAATGGCGTGTTTGTGCGGCCCGATAAGAATAGACTCCGGGCTATCCAACAAGAGGGTCACAGGGCCTGGGTCGCTATAAATCCTCCCAAACCATCTCCTACTGGAGTAGAATTAACTCAGCAGGTTAAAGCCACACCCGAAGCTATTCCGGCCCCTACTCCTGCTATCATCGGATCTGGATCCAGATTCGCACCCTTGATCACCATAGAAGATCCATTATGATGACCCGGGGTCGCTCACACAGAGAGCAGGAATCTGCTGGTCTCTGCGTACTCCAGGTGAATGTCGGAAAACGTGGGCCTGCTCATGACACGGCTCTTGAACTTGCCTATCAAGCAGGTGCAGACATTGTACTAATCCAGGAACCATGGATTTTTCCGACTATTCATACAAAACTACTTAAACACATCCAAGTTTTTCTACTTTTCCCCCGACTCTTGATTGGAATTCTAGGCCACGTGTCATGACTTATACACGCAAAGGTGTAGGTCTATTCACTTTCCAGCTAGCTACTTACTCTCGAGATATGCTCTAAGTTTGTATTCGACAGAAGAGCAAACGCTCAGTAGAAATTCTCAACCATAAAACGCCCCTATGGGCTCTTTAGAAGCAGGGGAAAGACTTACTAGTTTGCTATCCCTTACTCAGTCTCCTGAAATTTTAGCAGGAGATATCAACATCTGCCATTTGCTTTGGGATCCATTAGCACGAAGCAATGCATGCGGTGAATCTCTCTTAACTTAGGCAACTGAAAAGGGGCTCCTTCTACTAAACAATTACGGAGAGCCTACTCAGGATGCAGGCTCTGTTCTCGACCTATGTTTGGTGAAAGAGTGCTCTAAAGCCTTTTACAAAGTTTGAAATGATCTCTACATCGGCTCAGACTACAGGAAACTATTTTTCCAAATTACAGATGGAGGCCCTGACACTCCTAATCCTGGCCGAATTCGAAATGCTGTTGCTGACTGGTCTGCTTTCAATAATATTCTGAGGGATTGGCTCAGAACCCACTAAATACCTGATGTTAACAAGGAAGCCACTTTTCTTGCAGAAGCCATATCAGGAGCCCTAAGGGCAGATTTCTCAAGGTCCAGAAATCAAGGTAGTGGACGTCGTTGGTGGACTGAGGCTTGTTCCGAAGCTCACTGTAACTTTTGTCGAATAAGTCAACAGGGCTTACACACTGTTAATGAAAGCCGCGAATTTGCCAAAACTGTCAAAAGAGCCAAGTGAGATTACTGGCATAACAAGATTGATCAGGTAGCGAGTCTCACAGAGGCATATAAAATTAACTGGTGACACAAGAAACAAACAACCATCCCAATGCCCCCTCTCGTTGGACCTCATGGCTCTGTAGCTACTCCTAAGGCAAAAGCTCGAAATTTTCGACAGGCTCTACTGAATAGATTTTCGCCCCAAGACAACATTCCTATCAGTTCACCAAGTGTTGCTAGGACTAATCTCCCATGGGCCTCAATCACCGAGGAGGAAATATTTCGTGCATGCTCTCAGGTCTCGTCTACAACCCCAGGATCCAACGAGATAATCCCGAATTCTCTCCGTTGAGCATGGCCAATAATTGGCAATAGTGTGTCAGCCCTCTTCTGCCAGTGCGAGAATCTAGGGATACATCCGCTTGCCTTTAAGAAGTCAACAGTAATAATTCTTCCGAAACCAGGAAATCGAGATCTCACCCTCTCGAAGTCTTACAGACCGATCTCTCTACTTTCGTGCCTTGGTAAAGGCTTCGAGAGACTGATAGCACGGCGAATTTTATACATAGCTCTGAAATATCGGGTACTCGCTAAAGACCAATGCAGTGCCACCCCTCATCGCTCTGCTTCTGACCTTACCACAGCTCTTGCTTGTGAAATTCAGGCAAAATGAATGGAAAAGAAAGTAGCTGGTATAGTGACTGTTGACGTTCAGGGGGAATTCGACGGCATACAAAAAGGACGACTCTGCCATTGGCTTCTAAGCTAAGGATGGCCATTGAACGTGGCTCGCTGGGTAGCATCTTTTATGGAAGAGCGGGAATCCACCATCTCCATCGAAGATGCTACATCACCGCCCTTCCAAACTCACTGTGGTCTCCCGCAGGGCTCGCCAGTATCCCCAATCCTATTCTTCTTGGCCATGGAAGAAGCTCCACGCCTCTCTACCAGTCACTTTGGCCATGCTGATGACATTGCTATTTTTGCGTCAGCTCTCTCTCTAGCCGATTTGCACGTAAACTCAAGGAGAAATTAGATAGTACTATATCATGGGGTTTAATTATCAGAATTAGTTTCAAACTGCCTAAGACTGAGCTACAATACTTTCACCGGAAGCGAGGCTCACCAATAGAGCCATCTATAAATATTGGAGGGACAGTCATAACGCCTAAAGATCACACTCGCTGGCTTGGAATCCTCTTCGACCGTGCTCTACGATCCCAACACCACACCCTACAGGCTTGCCGAAAGTCTCTAGCTATCACGAGCCATTTGAAAAAGCTTTTGATGATCACTCGAGGAATTAGTTCTCTTTTCCTAAGACAAGCTCTAAAAGGTGACGCTTTTGCGACCCTCTTCTATGGGGCCGAGACCTGGTATTCTAAAGAGACTTCTTAAAAGATCATCTCGAAATTCCAACACAGGATGAGCGACGCGGCTCGGACAGCTCTCACAATCTATCGCACCACTCCATTAACAGCACTCCTACAAGAAACTGGCTGGAGCCCAGCTCAGACGTGGCTCTCCCGAATTTACAGTTGTTTAGCGGTTTGAATTGTGGCAGCTGACCCGTACCACCCTCTTCGTATGCGTTGAAATACTAGTTGTATGCGCTGGACCCACCAGAGGATTCCGTTAGAAGTTTCCGATGACACCATACCACCACTATGATCGGCATCCTGCGAGGAAAATCTAATCAAAATTGGGGCAGTTGATAGACTCCTATGACCAAATTCCTTCAAACGATGGCAGGCTAAACAAACAATCCTAGGCCTATTCGTATTTCTAGATGGCGCTCTCATAGAGGACCGAGCAGGTGCGGGCTATGTCATTTGACCGAGGTCCTACACAAGAAATAGGGCGAGGATCACTCCCGCTTGGAAACTTGTCAGAAGTCTATGAAGCAGAAAATTCCGGGGTCACGAAAGGTCTTGCGGC